GAAACCAATGAGTATACACCCGAGTCCACTGGGATCTGGCACTTATAGAAGTATAATACAGTGTAACAAAGATACAGTCTATTCTATTCCATATGTGTTTTTATAGTGCGGGCATCACTGTAGTATCTGAGTCCCTTATGGGAAAGTCCTATAGTATTTCATATAAAGCAACAATCTTCCTATAGAATTTTTAGACAATCCTATATAATTTAATAGAGAATTAAATATCCCTGCTATAAGATTTTATAGGATAATTTAAAATAGTATAGAAAAGTTGTTGTTCCGTATGAAATTTAATAGGTTTTTAGAGTAATTTCCATAGAACTCTATTGGTTTCATTCTTTAGGAATTTCCCATAATTATAGTACCATATCTTCAGAATCGAAATTATGGTATAAAGAATATTGAGCTTATTCTCAATAGAAAAGAATAGAAAAAGGAATTACCAGTATTATGAAAGAGCCTGACAAAGTTGATAAAGCCAAATTGGACGCTCCGGTGCAAAAATAAAAATAGGGCATGAAGACAAAAATTAGAAACTAGCGAGGAGTATCTAGGAATGGCAGGTAGAAATACCACACAGAGTAATAATAGGAGAACTTCTGAAGAGTCACAGGATTATTTAAAAGTTCATTTGCGTATTTGAACTTTTATCTCCCTTCCCCAACAGGCCTGGATTGTTCCCCACACCTAAAAATTCCCGCCCTCCCTCCCCCACCTTAGTAGGCCCTCTCTGTATGCTAGTGCTACCTTCTGAAATGGAGATTCCTAGTGGTCTGCTCCCACTGATGGCTGCCCATCTCGATGGGGCATCTTACCCTCATTCTGGGTGTTGTATGGAGGGAAGTTTCCCTACAAGCAGGGGCCTAAAGTCCTTCCCCAGTGGGATTCAGACAAATGACAGGCTCTCTGCTGCACACCTCTGACACTTTATTCAATTCTAACATGCTTTACTGTGTCCTCCAGAACACAAAATAATTAGCATTAGTCAGTACCCTGGATCCCACAACAGCTCTGACAGAAAAAATAGATTTCTGGAAGAAGCAGCAGCTGGGGTAACCCAATTAACAGAGAGCAGTGACAGGGAGGGATGAGGGTGCTGTAGCAAATGGAGGAAGACCCTTAACTGATTTTTTTTCTGAATATTAGAAAAGATTTGGTTCATGGGGTGGGCAGGTGTTCCAATTTATTCTTATTTTAACCAAACCAACTGAACACAAAATGTTACAAACAGAGCATAAGTTACCATGGAGATTGCTTGAACCAGGGACAGCTACTGTGAATTTGTTTCTGGACAAGGATAGGATTTAGGAGTGGGCTGAAAAATAGGAAAGTGAGAATCAGATTAGTCCAAAGAGAGTTAGGCACAATGGTCTGGAAAGCTTGTTTTCTTCCTCTTCCTAGAACTGTTTTATGTCCTTTATAGCTCTACTTTTATCTCTGCCACTTCAGACAGTGATGCATTGGTCACATTTTAACAAAATGGCAATTACAAAAATTGCCCCCCCCTTTTTATTCCACCATGATCCCTGTGTACTAGGGTTTTGTGCACTCTAGAGAGAAAAGCGAGGGTCGAGGACATTTTTTCACTTATGTTCCCAAACAATAACGCCTTTCCATAACCATAAGGGAGGAGGAATCACCACTCAGCAAACAAATTTACAAGAAATGATCTTTGCTGGGAATGTTTATGTTTTGCTTTGGTAATATATATCTGGGGTGTTGAGGAAACAAGCACAGTGTTCTCCTTGTGTAGTCTGAATGGGGCAGGGTGGCGGCAAAGGCATTTTAGGTGTTTCCTTCTCCCTCTCTAATAATTTTTTTAAAATACCTGCTATTTGTTAACCCATCATTCCATCTGATCATCTAATCCATTCCAAAAGCAAAACATTTTTCTCCAGGAGTAGCTTTGTTAGCCTTAAGGACGAATCCTCTCTGATAAAGATTAGAGAGATGAGAGGACTCCATGAATGACTGGGAAATTGCCCCAATAATTTGGTGGCGGCATTTTCACAGGGAACTGAACAGCAGCAAAGCTCATACCCATTTCCAACTCTGAATAGTTAGCTACAGGCTAGGGCCCGACTGGCTAAGCGGCAGTTCTACAGAAAAGGACCTGGGGATTACAGTGGATGAGAAGCTGGATATGAGTCAATAGCGTGCCCTTGTTGCCAAGAAGGCTAATGGCATATTGGGCTGCATTAGTAGGAGCATTGCCAGTAGATAGAGGAAAGTGATTATTCCCCTCTATTCGGCACTGGTGAGGCCACATCTGTAGTACTGAGTCCAGTTTTGGGCCCCCCCACTACAGAAGGGATGTGGACAAATTGGAGAGAGTCCAGCAGAGGGAAACAAAAATGACTAGGGGACTGTAGCACATGACTTACGAGGAGAGACTGATGGAAATGGGCTTATTTAGTCTGCGGAAGAGAAGAGTGAGGGTGGATTTGATAGAAGCCTTCAACTACCTGAAGGGGGGTTCCAAAGAGGATAGAGCTAGGCTGTTCTCAGTGGTGGCAGATGACAGAACAAGGAGCAATGGTCTCACGTTGCAGTGGGGGAGGTCTAGGTTGGAAATTAGGAAAAACTATTTCACTAGAAGGGTGGTGAAGCACTGGAATGGATTACCTAGGGAGGTGGTGGAATCTCCATCCTTAAAAACTTCTGAGACCCAGCTTGACAAAGCCCTGGCTAGGATAATTTAGTTGGGGTTGGTCCTGCTTTGAGCAGGGGGTTGGACTAGATGACCTCCTGAGGTCTCTTCCAACTCTAATATTCTATGATTCTCTCATACAGTGCTAAAAAATCAAAGCACATTTCAGTGCATGAATACATAATAGACTTTAAAATCTGTGCAGGATCTTTCTACTTGCTGTGCTTAATTTCAAAATCCGTGCAATCATTAGAGCTAAATGGTTTGCTCTTTCAACATGGAATCCCAATTTCCCAGGAAAAGTGGGAGGACATTTTTTCCCCTCTAGTGGAACATGCCCCAATACTCTATCTGCCTGAAATTTCTGCTCTTTGGTTCCAGTTCTCAACTGTAAATTGCTCGTGTACACATCTCTCTGACATGAATCATACATAATCTTCTTCAAGATTTTAAAAGCCCTTTAGTCAATAGTAGTGATACTTGTCCCCCAGTACACTAGGAAATAGCCTTGATAGCCTCCTTCTTTTTTAGTCCATGTCTCTCACAGCTAACTAAAATTAATGGTAACAGGTGGTTGTGTTGTCATAAGTATATATACTTCTCTTCTCTAGCCTCTCTGCTTTCTGAGGTACTGTGGGGGTGGGGAAGATGACAGATGGCTTCCGCAAACTAATCACAGATAACATGATATTTTGGTGTAGTACATGCATTTTCAGGCAAATAATGAACTAGTTTCATTTAATATCCCTCCCTGTGAAAAGCTGGGCACCTTAATGGAATGTGGGACGCTCTAAGGAAATGCACATTACATCCTAAATTATATTAAAATGTGATTAATCATAGCACTATGCAATAAATAAGATAACAGTTGTTGGTAGAGATTTTTGATGTCTGAATTTATTTCATGAAAATCTTTCAATAGTTTGACAGAGAAAGATACAAAAAATCAAATTAAAAAAAAAATCAATCCTTGGGCCAAATTTTGCCATTTTTGACCTGAGTTCATTACAGATTGAAGATATGATTAAACAGAATATATCTGTGTACCTCTGAGCCACACTGACCACAGAAAGCCACCAATGCAGGCTCTGTGGCATGCTGATCTATCCAGGAGCATATTCTTCCCCTGTAGTGGGACTTTGACTAATTAATAGTCTTAATAATTTTTATTAGTGGGAAAAAGAAATCTATCATGGGTATTTCTAAGTGCTGGTATTGCTGGAATTACTAAGCATTGCGGCCTGTCTCCTGGCCCCAAGGAGTCAATAATCTTTGTCATTGTCTTTCATGAGAATAGGATTTGGCCATTAATGAAGACATTCTTTTTAAAGGTGGATGCTATTTATTTTAGGAAAGGTGCCTTCAAATTTGACCTTGTAAATCTTATACAAAATTTTTAGCACCTTTACAAAAAACCCAGTTTTTAAATTTTATTAAAGACCTTATGGGAGTTAATTATTTTTTATTCCTGTTTATATGACAAAATATGTTATATCAAAAAATCATGATTAAACCCCCAGTATCTAAGATTTAAATAAGGAAGTCTGAAGATTAGAAATGAGTTGATGGAAATAGTTAAAGGGGCAAATTAATAAAGTAAAACAATAAAATTTTAATTTGATAGCTCCTGCCTTTAATGCCTAGCTGGTTGTATGAAGAGAGAGGTGAAAACAGGAGGAATCGAGGATAGAGAGATGGGCAGAAACAGGGAAAGAGGCAGCAGATGGGGGCTGAGAGAAAAACAAAAAGCATGAACAGAGGAGGAAAGAGATCAAAGCCCCAATCCTGCAATTTACAATGCAATGCGTGGTCCACTGTGCCTGAATGGAGCTCCATTAAAGTCAATGAAGTACTGCATACGGGTCCACATAGGCTGTAAATTGTAGGATTTGGCCTAAACTTACATGGATAAGGCATTAATTGAATCAGCCTGTGGCTCTATTAAATCTGACTGGTCATTTTGAAGGTATTACTTGTGCTTCTAGACAGCAGTTTAACAGTAACTTGCCAGTAGGCAAGTTGCTCCCATTTTCTATAAATCCCCACAATTTATTTTATGAAAACACGTCTATTATTGTTCCTGCATATCTCATTTGCTGCATTATCCCACCAAAGGAAATTGTGTGCATTGTGTTACTCAAGTGAGTGGATTTAAGCTGCTTAGCCATATAAATTACAACAGTGTTCACTTGTACCAACTTCTTGACATTAGAACATAGCCCTTGGAGCTCTCTTTACAAATAGCTAACATCCTGCTGTAAATCCGTTTTCATGCAAAATACATGACTAATAAAAAATAAAAACTCTGGCTTATCCCTGTATAACTTGTGGCTATTTTCCAACACAGGTTTATCAATATGCAACCAGCACCTGTTCAATACGAGGTGGAGAAGGCGAGATGAAAAATGGCACAGAATGAAGAATTATGAAATTATGGGCATGGCACAGCTAAGCAAAGAAGAGCAATTAATGAAGAGAGAAAAATGGAACATTTTCTAAGTTGGGTAAGCGATTTAGGCCATTACCTAACAATATGTAAGGTGACTGAAGCTTATTCTGATTATGGAAGGATTACAAGGATTACAGGTGCATGCGCGTACACACACACACATGCTGGATCTCCTTCTTGAGCAATATTTTCTCGCATTAAGTACAACCATAATTTCTTCTGATATTAAACATGCATTTGATTTGCTTTGAAGCACGAATAACCACAACTCCAGCACCTAGGTGCATGTAAGTGGTGCTTAGAAGCATAAATAACACTTTAAAGTGACCATTCAGCCAACATTCCCAAGTTACATATATGATTATTATTAATGTTACATAATAAAAATACACATTAATACTGAGAAAGCAGAACTCATATGGTTATGCAACTATTGTATTCATGCAAACATACGGCACTTTGTGCTATTTATTAAAATTACCACACACTGAGCTATTTCTGCATCTTATTTACTTTGTGCACTGTGAATTTCAGCCAAATACCTATCCTTTAGCTAGATAGAAGAACAGATTAACAGTATTGACAAGGATGCCTCTAGTGGGAAAAGCAGCATACTGTCTAGAGTCAGAGTGATGGGAGGAGATGCAATGTTCATCAGTTACAAACTTGTAAAATACCACATGATAGAAGATGCTGCATGGAGTTGCAGCTGATTCCATTTGCCATATGGCACATTATTATTTTGTATTTCTGTGGGGAGTGCACGAAAGACTAAAGGAGAACTGAACACTTTCAAGGTATATAGAATAATAATCAGAAGGTGCATAGTTCTTGATTATAGCAATAAAATCTGTAACTGGGGCAGACTGGCAGGGGAAACTGAATTTTGGAGACTGGATGCATGCTGTAGCACTCTCTAGGTAGTGAACAGATAATATAATTAGAGTTGAGCAATTTTTTTTTTCAGTGAATAGTTTTTTCACAAAAAAATGCAGTTTTGGATTGACAAACGATTTGCAAATTTGGGTGGCATTTGGAGAATGATTTTTGCTCCATAAAAAGAGGGGGGATTCCAAAGAAAACAAACATTTTGTTTTGGTATTTTTTAAATGAATCTTTCAACATTTTGATTCAAAGCAGTATTTTATTTAGAAATTTAACTACATTTAACTAAAAATGGGGGAGACATAAGAACACCCCAACATGACACAAAATGTTTTGTTTTGTTAGACCTAAAACAAACAAAAACATTGGTTTAAGTGAGGAACTGAAAATTTATCATTTTGGATCAACCCAACATGAATTTTGGGGGGAGATCTTTTGGTCCATCCACTAAACTGAAAAATCAATTATCTGCCTATCTCTAAATATAATTCAGTTCTATCAGGAACATTTAAAAAGGAAGAAATTGGCAACTATCTTATATAAATGTCCCATGGACAATCCAAAAGAAATCAAAGCCAGGAAATGCCATGAATAATTCTATATGCAATATCTCATAGACTCATAGATATTAAGGTCAGAAGGGACCATTATGGTCATCTATTCTGACCTCCAGCACAACGCAGGCCACAGAATCTCACCCACCCACTCCTGCAATAAACCTCTCACCTATGTCTGAGCTATTGAAGTCCTCAAATTATGGTTTAAAGACTTCAAGGTGCAGAGAATCCTTCAGCAAGTGATCCGTGCCCCAGAGGAAAGCGAAAAACCCCCAGGGCCTCTTCCAATCTGCCCTGGAGGAAAATTCCTTCCCGACCCCAAATATGGCGATCAGCTGAACCCTGAGCATGTATGTGGGCAAGATTCACCAGTCAGATACCCAGGAAAGAATTCTCTGTAGTAACTCAGATCCCAACCCATCTAACATCCCATCACAGGCCATTGGGCCTATTTACATGAATAGTTAAAGATAAATTAATTGCCAAAATCATGTTATCCCATCATACCATCTCCTCCATAAACTTATTGAGTTTAATCTTGAAGCCAGATAGGTCTTTTGCCCCCACTGCTCCCCTTAGAAGGCTATTCCAGAACTTCACTCCTCTGATGGTTAGAAATCTTCATCTAATTTCAAGTCTAAACTTTCCAATGGCCAGTTTATATCCATTTGTTCTTGTGTCCACATTGGTACTAAGCTTAAATAATTCCTCTCCCTCTTCGGCATTTATCCCTCTGATATATTTATAGAGAGCAATAATATATCCCCTCAACCTTCTTTTGGTTAGGCTAAACAAGCCAAGCTCCTTGAGTCTCCGTTCATAAGACAGGTTTTCCATTCCTCAGATCATCCCTAGTAGCCCTTCCCTGTACCTGTTCCAGTTTGAATTCATCCATCAGACATGGGAGACCAGAACTGCACACAGTATTCCAGATGAGGTCTCACCAGTGCCTTGTATAACGGTACTAACACCTCCTTATCTCTACTGGAAATACCTCGCCTGATGCATCCCAAGACCACATTAGCTTTTTTCACAGCCATATCACATTGGCAGCTCATAGTCATCCTGTGGTCAACCAATAATCCAAGGTCCTTCTCCTCCTCCATTACTTCTAATTGATGCGTCCGCAGTTTATAACTAAAATTCTTTTTATTAATCCCTTACACTTCTCACTATTAAATTTCATCCTATACTATTACTCCAGTTTACAAGGTCATCCAGATCCTCCTGTATGATATCCCGGTCCTTCTCTGTATTGGCAATACCTCCCAGCTTTGTATCATCCGCAAACTTTATTAGCACACTCCCACTTTTGGTGCCGAGGTCAGTAATAAAAAGATTAAATAAGATTGGTCCCAAAACCGATCCCTGAGGAACTCCACTGGTAACCTCCCTCCAGCCTGACAATTCACCTTTCGGCATGACCCGCTGTAGTCTCCCCTTTAACCAATTCCTTATCCACCTTTTAATTTTCATATTGATCCCCACCTTTTCCAATTTAACTAAAAATTCCCCATGTGGCACGGTATCAAATGCCTTACTGAAATCTAGGTAAATTAGATCCACTGCGTTTCCTTTGTCTAAAAAATCTGTTACTTTCTCAAAGAAGGAGATCAGGTTGGTTTGGCACGATCTACCTTTTGTAAAACCATGTTGTATTTTGTCCCATTTACCATGGACCTCAATGTCCTTAACTACTTTCTCCTTCAAAATTTTTTCCAAGACCTTGCATACTACAGATGTCAAACTAACAGGCCTGTAGTTACCCGGATCACATTTTTTCCTTTCTTAAAAATAGGAACTATGTTAGCAATTCTCCAGTCATACGGTACAACCCCTGAGTTTACAGATTCATTAAAAATTCTTGCAAATGGGCTTGCAGTTTCATGTGCCAATTCCTTTAATATTATTGGATGAAGATTATCTGGGCCCCCCCCCGGATTTAGTCCCATTAAGCTGTTCGAGTTTCACTTCTACCTCAGATATGGTAATATCTACCTCCATATCCTCATTCCCATTTGTCATGCTACCATTATCCCTAAGATCCTCATTAGCCTTATTAAAGACTGAGTTTAGATATTGGGCCATGCCTAGATTATCCTTAACCTCCGCTCCATCCTCAGTGTTTAGCAGTCCCACTTCTTCTTTCTTTGCTTTCTTCTTATTTATATGGCTATAGAACCTTTTACTATTGGTTTTAATTCCCTTTGCAAGGTCCAACTCTACTTGACTTTTAGCCTTTCTGACTTTATCCCGACATGTTCTGACCTCAATAAGGTAGCTTTCCTTGCTGATCTCTCCCATCTTCCACTCCCTGTATGCTTTCTGCTTTTTCATAATCACCTCTCTGAAATGCTTGCTCATCCAGCTTGATCTACATCTCCTGCCTATGAATTTTTCCCCTTTTCTTGAGATGCAGGCTTCCAATAGCTTCTGCAGCTTTGGGTTAAAGTAATCCCAGGCCTCCTCTACCTTTAGATCCATACGTTCTTCAGTCCAATCCACTTCCCTAACTAATTTCCTTAATTTTTGAAAGTCAGCCCTTTTTAAATCAAAAACCCTAGTCGCAGATTTATTTTTGTTTATCCTTCCGTTCAGTTTGAACTGAATTAGCTCATGATCACTTGAACCAAGGTTGTCCCCTACAACCACTTCTTCTGTGAGGTCCCCACTACTCACCAAAACCAAATCTAAAATGGCATCCCCTCTTGTCGGTTCAGCAACTACTTGATGAAGGAATCCATTAGCTATCGCATCCAGGAAAATCTGAGCCCTATTATTATTACTAGCACTTGTCCTCCAGTCTATATCTGGGACATTAAAGTCTCCCATGATCACACAGTTTCCATTCGTATTTACTTCATTAAAAACATTAAAGAGGGCTCTATCCATATCCAAATTAGATCCCGGCAGTCTCTAGCACACCCCAAGCACTATCACAGAGGAGGCTCTAGTAGTTTTCTTCCCCAATGTGATCTTTGCCCAGACGGACTCTGTCTTATCCATTCCATTGCTTCTTATTTCTTTACATTCTACCTCGTCATTGATATACGTTACTCCACCACCTTTGCTTTTATTTCTGTCTTTCCTAAACAGCACATACCCTTCAATACCTGTTCTCCAGTCATGACTACTATTCCACCATGTTTCTGTTATCCCTATAATATCTGGTTTCACTTCCTGCACCAGTAGCTCTAGTTCCTCCATTTTGTTACCTACGCTCCTTGCATTGGTGTACAAACATCTTAATTTTTGCTGTTTGGCCTCGCTCACATTCTTTACCGGATTAGGCACGGACATTCTACAGCCAGCATGACCTATTAGGCTGGTATCCACACTGCCCTTCCTCCTTATGTCCATTCTCCTACCCATGGCTGTATCCTTTCTTACTTTGTCTTCTTCCCTCTCAATGCTAAAATCCGGTGTGGACATTACCTGGACATCTCTCAACCATCTCCCCCAAATTCCTGGTTTAAAGCTCTCTTAATCAGTTGTGCCAGCCTCCATCCTAGAAGTCCATCCAGAGAGAACTGTCCTCTGTCCATGAATGCCTCCCAGTGGCCATACATCCCAAAGCCCTCCTTTAAGCACCACTGCCTGAGCCATCTGTTGA